TTTTAAAATCTTAGTTTATCATTCAAAGGACCTTCTGCTGTGGAATTACACCTTTTGACCTGTATTTGACTGAGTTCTATTTTCTGGCCTGTTGCATTTTTTTCTTTCTAGAATCAGTCACATACAGCGTGGCCAAAAAGTTCATATGCAACTTACAATAGTGTGCAATTAAAATCGCACACGAACTTTATGGCCACCTTGTATAATTACGTATTTGTAACATTTGCCTAGTTATTTCCTTGTGTTTTAGGAAAGCAGAACTTGGCATAATTTGTTTTGAACATTTCTCTATTTACATTGGGATTAGGGTTGCTTATATGAGTTGCTGATTTTTGTCTGTTAGCATCACATTAGATTCTCTTTTATGTTTTCTTTCCAGTAAATTCTAATGACATTGCTCATTGGATGTGATTAGTCATTCTCCTGAGAGTATTAAATGGGTGTGAGCAGAGATGACATACTATATACTATGAAGATGCTTTTATTTATGTGGAGTATCTTGTGGGTGGGGTTAAGACATTCTTTCCCAGGCAATGCCACGGGATTACACAAACCTAGTACTCTTTCTTGAAGCCAAAGCGAGACTCCTCAAAGAATCCCTGAAGAAAGTTTAACCCCTTTGATTACAATCTGTTGGGGATACTGTGATTTAAATATTCTTTGCTCTTAACTACAAGGAGTGTTTTAAGTTTCCCAATGTCTAGAAGATTGAGGAACAAAGAGAAGGGGGAACAAGCAGGAGCTGGTCAGAGGTAAGAAAATTTATTTTGGGAAATGACTTGGAAAAGGTGGAAGAAGAAATCTTTTTTTTACTTTTTAAAAAAGAAGTATCTTTTTTTACTAAAAGTTCAACAGCAAAAGGAGCAAATATCATCATTTGCTATTTAAATTTTATACATATTTGGATATGTTCAGATTTGGTAATAAAGATGTAGAGATTTATCTAAGGCCTTGTGTCTACAAACTAGAAGAGAATGTGTTTATTGGAGTTGACTTTCAAATCAACATAGAACACTAATTTTATAAGCTATGAGGTGTGAAAGCAACTCAGAAAGGCAAATTTCAGGTAAGGTGTGCTCCCAAATTCTTTCCCTTACCTTCTGTCTATTTTAAAAATATTTCATTTGTCTTATTGGGGGTGACTTAACTTTAGTTTTTACTGATTTTGCTGCTAAGTGTTAAAACACAACAATATACTTGGAGACTGTTTTCCTTAATAACATACTATCTCAGGTGCTATTAATTAAAAGGCAGGTCCTGATAAAATGATTTTTAGATAGTTTTCTAAAGACTTCAAGAAATTGGATTTAAATCCTTTTAAGAA